TGGTGGATTTCGAATTCCGCCGGAATCAATGAACGCATCCCACAGAAGAAGACGCTCACAGATCCATTCCATGTATTCCACCACCCAAGTCTATGATTCCAAGAGAATGAAAAGGACCCAAACAAAGCAAAACTTCACCTGAAGAATCAAAGAAGGAAAAAAAGTTTCATTTCACATGGAATCAAACACTAACAAGCTCGGATACCAAGAACAACCGCCGTGTATGTATATGAAAAAGAAGAGATTTTTCTGATCGTTTTGGATCTACAGGTACCGATTCCTCCCAATCCAACCAAACATCGCCGGCAGAAGTATGAAAAGGTCCTCCTCAAACCAAACTGCAGGAAACTTGAACGGAAGAAGAGGTACATGACAACAAGATGAGATTTTTCTCGATCCACAGCGATGGAATCCATAAAACCCGGAGAACGAGAGGGGGAAACCGCACACAAGTCATCAAGAAAAGCATCGAGATTCTACTTCGACACAGCAGAAAGGAACCACGCCTGAGAAACCCGGAACGAATGGATTGGGATATCGCTTCAAGACTACCTTTTGGATCCCAGAGGACGTCGCTATGGTTCTAATTCGAAGAAGATGAAGCCCCTTGTGAGCCTCAAATCCACCATCGCTCCCGATTCTGCGCCTCCGTTGGAGTCGTCGCCGGACTAAGGCGGAGCTACCGGTACCGCGCTCCGTTTAAAGAGCCGCGCTCAAGAAACGCCCTTCACCGGAGGCGACCTGCCTCGGCCGTTAACTAACGATGACGGCGTTGGTTGTTATCCTCGCTTTGCGATATTTCTACCTAAACATTTCATGTTTATAAAATAAGCCCTTCACGTTTGCCTTGTACGAGTCACACACAGATGAGAAGAATCCCACCGTATATCAGCTTCAGCACGGATTCTAAAGCTATAATCATGCCTCCACGTGCATCACCGGATCTGATGGATGCTGATAGAGGTAAGATAAAGAGGATCAAATTATTTTCCTCTAATTTTTTTAATGATAATTCATGTTCTTATAAATAAAAGATTATTAAATATATCTTATTTGTTGGTAGAAAAGCCCCATCAAATTCCTACAAAAATCACAAATGAGAAAACCACCAATTAGATATGACTAATGGAGAACATAAAAAAGATGTGTTCTATTTTTGGTTGCTCAAAGGCTGAGGCTCCATTTTAGCAAATTAATTTATTTTTTACTAAAAATAAAATAATAATAATAATAATAATTTCAATCATGAATAATTATATAATAACTCTGATAAAATATATAAAAAAAAAGAATTGGTTAGTACATTATATGAATATATTCTTAAAAAAATTATGAATATTACTATTGAATGATACAAAACAATTAATATGGACAGTACAAAAGATACAGATGAAAACCGAAGATCTCAGTACTGGTTTGAACATAGCTATAAGAATAGATGTATGTAATTAATACTAGTTAATTGGGATATTATAATTTTGTTTATTATTTTAATAAAACAGATCCAACAAATATATTTTTGACTTGTGTCGAAAGCCCATCTCTCTCTCTCTCTCTCTCTCTCTCTCTCTCTCTCTCTCTCTTAGAAGGGATTGTGATAAGGGTTAGGGTTAGATACTGAGAGCAGCCTATGAGTGTGAGGTTGGTGGTGGTGGGCCTTCAACAAGGAACAAAACACTGTCTTCTTCTCTCCACCCTCACCTGGATTTGCTCACCAAGTGAAAGGAAAACCTGCACCAGTAAGCTTCAACAATGCTGATTCGATTCAGCATGGAGAAGAGTCGAGTCTTCCGTGCTGTCTGCTGGTGTAGTTATCATCATATCAATAAGTTTAGTCTCATCATTATCATCTCCTGGGAATCTGCTTCCAATCCAGATCTCCTGGTCGAGATCATGGAGAAAAAGTCAAAGGAAGGAACTGGTCAAACTTCTCATAAAGAAACCAAAAGGTAACCCTATATTTCTTCCTTACATGTCTGGAGGTAAGTGAGAGTAGTGTTGTTAGCGCTTAGTAACTCAAGTAACTTATAGCTAAGCAAATCTTATGCATATCGTCAACCATAACATATAAACAATTTATATGTTATGGTTGAATTTTTATTTAGCATAATAAAATATAAAAAAAAATGATATAAATTAATTATCATAAAAATATTTGATATGAAAAAATGACACATGATAAGCTATCGACACCTCAATAATATTTTTATTATATCAACGTGATCGGCATTTCAGCAAATCGACATTTGAGACTTTATTAAAATTTATGCATAATTAAACATATAATATTGCTCGAATAACTCGGATTGATGCATCGAATCTCCAAACACGATTCTAATGGACACTCCCTAATTCTCATAGTCATCTATCTTACTATATAAATTCTTAGGTAGCAACCCTGAATCAAACTAAACAAAATCTTTTGAACTCTACTAAGCATCATAGGGGTTTTGTCAACATGTCCTCGATGTAGTCTTATAGGGTCTCGACACACGAGGATTCGGTTATATTCGAATCACCCTTGATGTGATGATTCATTGCCCATAATCAACTAGCAATGTTATTGTGAGAAGCTCATGATTAGATCTAAATTACTTTTAAGATAGGATAATCAGATTATTAGCTTAACCATCTTATTTCTTACTTTCCGTGTAAAATAAAACAATGCATGGCAGGATTAGTGGAACCGTCATATCATCACATTAGCCACTGCAGTTGGCAGAGGTGTTAATGGCTTGAGTTTTCATCCATAAAATAAGGCTATGATTGCATATATTTTATGCTTGTAGGGACTGCCTATCCCTCAAAGTCTTTAAGGTAGAAAGTGCATTATTACATGGACAATGAATAATGAATGGCTTGAATTATTCGTGGAGGAGGAGGAAGAGCAGCAAAGTGCTTCGTTTGCCAAAGCTTCGCCTCGTTTTCTCGAGTACAGGATGAAGGCGATACCGTGGCATGTAATGGAGACATGATGATGCATGCGTCCGGATATGACCCGAGATGAGTGTGCCATCGATATGGGGAATATTTTACATCAATTGTATAATGACACATGGATCGCAAATCATTCGTATTACTTGTCTTAGATATCTTTGTCGAGTCAGTCTACATCAAATTCGTCTCGAAATAGATCATTTAGCTCTGAGTTGATGTCGATTCCAATTTCGTAGACGACACGATTTGCATTTTTTTATCATATAAAATATATTATAAAAATTTATTCGATAATTTTCATATATATATTCATAGAGAAAATTAAAATTTTCATCATGTAAAATCAATTACAAGACCATCAAATTATTCGATAATTTAGCTCTGAGTTGATGTCGATTCCAATTTCGTAGACGACCCAATTTACATTTTTTTATCATATAAAATATATTATAAAAATTTATTCAATAATTTTCATATATGTATATATATATATATTCATAGAGAAAATTAAAATTTTCATCATGTAAAATCAATTACAAGACCATCAAATTACCCTCACTCAAGTATAATTCCGTTATACACTCTCTCACATAAATATCTTTAAAAATTTTCATATTTTCTTTCACATCTCTAAAAGCTCTAATATTAATCTATAAATATCTTAAAGAGAAACAAAAAAAGTACACGAAGTATTCGTTACATGTTGATCGATTTCCATCAAAATATGAAGGTACATGAAATATTTATAAATATTTATCCTCACTCAAAAAAATCACACATTTTTTTCGTCATCTTTAGAAACCGTAGTATTAATCTATAAATATCTTAAAGAGAAACAAAAAACACTTGATTGATTTCCACTAAGATTTGAAGATACATAAAATATTTATAGAATAATCAAACTCTTATTGTCAATATATTTTTTCCTCAAAAACTCCTTCTCATATTAGGATCCTTATCCTCTTACGATAGATACTGGCTATAAAAATTCTAAAATATTTAATCATTTTTATTTTCTTATTCTTTACAATTCAAACTCTACCATTATCTTAATCGTAGTATGACATATTAAAAGATTTTCATTTTGTTTTAATTTTATTTCACTCATTTATAGTATTTTTGTTTTGATGATCAAAATATTATACCAAGCCAAAATAGTATATGGACGAAAAAAATTAAGGAATAATTTAAATAATTTTTTTTTAAATTAGAGATATTATTTGAAATAAAATAAAATAAAAATAAGAAATATGGAATGCAAAAAATAAGAATACTTTTGTAGAAAAATCACCCTTAAAATTATCATCCTCTCAACTATAAAGATTGAGGCTCACACCAATATCGAAGAAATATATAAGTGAAAAATCATACGAGTTTTTGGCAAGTCTCATAGTCTCACATCGAGAAAATCAGGTTTGTTATTTCCTATTAGAACTATAAATAAAGGTTTGAACTTTGAAGTCATATGCACCACAAGAAAAATCTAAATGTTTTGGGTTTAAGTCCACACTCAGTTGAATCAAGTAAATATATGTTAATTGTTTCGAAGAAGGTGATGTTGGATTCGTGAAAAAACATCACTCCCCAAATCCACAGAAGAATAAGCATAAAGTTAGAGCAGAACGACAAGGATACTACTGCAATTGAATACTCCAAGCATATATCCCTAACAGTGCGCTACCCGTGTTTGCCGAGGAGGACAACGCGGTTTGCCGCCTACTTGCGTTTGATCACGTCAAAAATGAGTGTATATAATATCTTCACACACAAAGAACCGTCATAGAGAAATTGGCTAATATTTTCATAGTAGACTACTTTTCCACGACTTCCGTGGATGACAAGACATCGTGGTTTCGTTGACCATCGCCTTCGACTTGAAGCATAGGAGTATTAGTTTCTGTTTGCTGATCTGAAGTCTTTGCAAGTTTCGTGGATGTTTGACTAGCTAATCATTGTCTTCGTAGTGAAGCATACGAGTCTTACGTGTTTTAGAAGTTTGCTGTTCGATGGCGCTTGTCTCTCGCTATATATACAGCGGCAAAGGAAGTGAGAAAGAGCCCATCGACAAGTATAGCAAGTGAAGCTCCAAAGGTACGCTGCTCAATCTTCATCTATCTACTTGTACTATGGCTTGTTATTCCCAGCTTCATTTGCATGGTGTTCTTACGTACGTGTCCTGTTGTCTCTGCTTTGATAGGTGAAGAATCGCAAGAAGCAATCAGCGCGTCAGTAAAGAGAAGAGATATCGTTCATTCAATCATGGGTTGCCACAACTACCACGAGCACGAGCTGAAGCCAGACAACATGAGACGTCCTTACCGCTGCGATGGATGTGAAGAGATGGGGTTCGGTCCTCGATATGCTTGCGCCGAGCATTGTGGCTACCTTCTGCACGAGCACTGCGCAAACACTAGGGACACCCTCGCCCATCCCTTCTTCCCAGGTTGCGTCTTCCACTTCCTCCGCTCGGGCGATCCCAATCGCCGCTGTGACGCGTGCGGCGGAGACATCAATGGTTTTGTCTACCATTGCTTCGACAAAGGGTGGGACTTGCACCCGTGCTGTGCGAACCTGGAGACGATGATACATGTGCAAGCGGAGGAAGAGAACATGACACTGTTTCTACACGAGAAAGAGACTTCCAAGTGTTGCAGGTGCGGCAAGAAGAAGCTGAACAAACGTGCAAGAAGCTGGATGTACGTTTCAGGGTGCAAGGAGTACCACTTCCATGTGTCCTGTGTCAAGGAGGACATGATCGAACATCTGGAGAAGTCCTTCCTTGGTGGCAAAGGAGCTGCAGCAAATGGCGAGGTCAACGAAAGCCGAGATCTGGAGATCAAGAGCCTGCCCGGGCTTCAGCTTGCTCGCAGAAGAGAGAGCGGAAAGAAGAGAAGGTTTGCCAAGTTCAAGAAGATCGTGCAGATCGCTATCAGCTTCATCATGGCGGCGTTCGTCGGGGATCCGTCTGCATTTGTTGCAAGTCTCATCGTAAACCTTATTACTAATTTATAGGCTGAAGTATTGTTTTCTTCCTCAAACTCCTTTTTTACGTCGAAGGATTTTTCTGTAAAGAAAATTAGCCAAAGCAAAAGATCTGTTAGGTCATTTCCATTGTATTTGTTTCGATTTTGTTTCTATGTTGTAGATATTTTTATATGAAACGTTTATCGTCTCTCGTGATGAATGAATTCGGGCTCGGAATCATGATTCGGATCCATCGGTTAATCCGATTCGATCTGGATCAAACATGAGTCAGGTGGTACTCGAGTCGAGTCGAAATTGAGCAATGAACCAAACCGAGCCGAAGGGAATCAGAAGAGATTGCCTCCGGTTCAAGATTGAGCTCTGAACCGAACCGTAGACAAACACATAAAAGAAGTCGCATCACAAGCAACGCTACATACTTCTACTACTACTACTCCTACAATGTAAGACCAATTCGGGCACGTGAGCAGCTGCGGGCCACAAGACTCACTTCAGGTCTGCAGCCACTTCAGCGCCATTGCCTTCGAAGACTACCAAAACACGCAGTCAAAGTCTCTGACGCACACACAGACAGCCACCTCCATGTCACTAAAAGGAAGGAGAGTGGAGCAGCATTCGAGTTGCAGTGTTAGACGCGGAAGTTCTTGCCCTCGAAGGTCTGGCCGAACTGCCAAGTGGAAGGGACGATGTTCCAGGAAGTGGAGGTGCGGCGGTCGCTGCCGGTGACGCGGAAGGAGAGGGATTCGCCGACGAGGACGGCGTTGGACTGCCAGTTCTGGCCCCAGTTGCGGGACATGGGCATCCAACCGGTGCGCGACCCCTTCACGCTGACCCGGACGATGTCGCCGGCGCCCGCCACGTTGGTGATCAGCACCAGGTTGAAGTACTTGAAGCCGTGGATGGTGAACCGGATCCCCCCGGATTTCCTGCACGGCACCCTGCCATGGGTTGCACGGATCCCGAGGATCAATCGACGATGATCCGAGCGTGATGAGCTCTACCCATGGAACAAAACAGAGGAGGGCGAGGAGGGAATACCTTCGGAAGGAGACGGGGACGATCCCGGCCCGGTACTCGGCGATCTTGAGGAACGCAGGCATGGCGAGGTCGAAGTGGGGGCGGGGCGGGTTGCACCACCCGCCGTCGTCGGAGGGGAGCGCATAGTTGGGCGGGCAGAAGTTGGTGGCGGTGATGAAGATGGAGGGGCTCCCGCGGTGGCACCACTGCGGGTCCTCCGCGCACTTGATCTCGAAGCACGCCCCGCAGCTCTGCCCCTCGTTGAACAGCGCCGTGCTCAACGCTGCCGTCTCGACCCCGTATCCCTGGCTGTAGAGGTTCCCGTACCCACACGCCCCTCCTGTGTACCCATCAACCACACACAAATCCCGTCAGCTCTGGCTTCGTTCGTGGCGACCACGAGAGGAATGTGGCTTACCCATGGTGCCGGACGCGTCGCTGCCGCCGTAGAAGGTGGCGTGGGCGCTCTGCCACTGGCCGCCGGTGTAGACGCCGGGAATGCGCCCCGCCGCAGGCGCCAAGAGGGCAAGGAGGGAGACGACAGGGACGAAGGAGGCCATCGCCATTGTTCGCTCGCTTCGCGCTTTAGGGTTTGGGGAGGAAGGGAGGGCAGCGGGGGGGTGTATTTATGGACTCGAGAATGAGACCAAATAATGGCAACGGCTGAGGAATGCGAATGATAAGTAGTGATTGAGGGGGGGAAGGGGGACCAGCACTGCACCAACTTGGTATCGTACATCTGTCTGCTATGTAGCCCGTCCGATGTTTAATCAACGGCTGTCATTAAACCTTGCGTAGCGAAATTGCGCAGCGGAGAACTGGGAGACGGAAGGGGTTTTGTGTCATTTGCGGCAAAAGAAAGGGGAAGATCGATCTACGACAGCCGTCGCTCCTGGCTTTGCTTGCATCGCAAGTCGTGCCGCCACCGACGGCTCTGATTCGACGGCCTTTTCTCCACGCCTTGGCTCCTTCCCCAACCACTCCTTGCCTCTTTCTTCTACCTCCATGGTTTGCATGGACCGGCTACTTTAATGGCCTGCAAACAAAAGTATCATAGCCAAGTGTTGGGTATTAGACAAAATATTGTGCACTTTCTAAGATAATATATACATATATATGTATATATATTAGGTGGACAAACATCATTTTGTCATGTACTAAGGTAAGTCTATAACAGAGCTCTCATATCTGAAGCTTTAGCATCCTTTGATATCCAAAGAAATAAGAGGAACCAGTGCATGATTTTGCTTGGCTTCAGACGCTTGGAATGATTGTATGCAGCAAGATTACATGCAATCCCTCATGTTGAAGAAGTTTCATCCCCAAAATTTTGTCAGACAGTAGGCCTTGGGAAGCAAAGCCTAAGTTTGGTAGCCTGTTCTGAAGTCAACAAAGCAAATGTCTGAGTCCAGGGATGAACCGAGCATAGACCAAGAAGCAGGAACAGTGCATGCTGGCATGTAGCGTTGGGCACTAGCAAAAGGCAGGAGGTGCCGTTCTTGGATTCCTCCTACATCTTTCACACTCTGGTGTCTGATGCTTGTGACTGATGTGAAGAACTTGACTTGCTTTCTCAACCTTGACAAGCTCAACTCCCTGGAGAAAAATGAGGCTTGATATCACCAGCTTGCCGTAATATATTACTGCAATTTAAGAATTGATAATTATTCCTTTTTTTTATTAAGTCAGTGTGTATATCACAATGTATTTGCCAAAATGGATAGACTGTCAAAAGCTTTCATTGGAGAGAAGACAAAAGGAATAGACTGTTAAGTAGAATTAAAAGCAATGTATGATACTGTAGCTTTGATTGGGTTTTCTTCTATGCTTTTGCTTTAAATGTAACTAAATTATGTTATCATGTCTTCTTGAAGACTTGCAATTCTGTAGTTATTTTAACTCTTGATTTAACGTAAGAGTTCAAATACTGTATGTATTCGATCATTGTAAACTAGCTAAACAAAGTGATCATCCAAAGAGGGGACTCCAAAACAGTTTGTGTCCATGTTGCTATCATCAGAGTAGGAAAAGGTGCAGGGATGTGGTGAATGTGTTGGGCTGATTTGTCTATACAACACGAGACAACATCAAAGCTTGGCTTCCTGGTTGGTACTGGCTTTGGGGAACATAAAATGATTGATGAAGCTGATTTCTATGACAATGCAGACTTTATACAGAACAGATGCACTTCCTTCTTTCTGAGGAACATCTGGTCTTGAGTTGCTACTTGCTACTGCTTGCAGATATCTTTGGTCATGTTCGAGAATTCTGCTTTGTGAATTAGTAGGATTCTTATTTATGATTTTAGTACAATAAGGACCTAAAAAAATCTAAAAAACAATGATATTACTTACATCAATAATGGTTTATATATATTAATGACTCTTAAAACACCACAATTTGTCGTTGTAGTATAGTGGTGAGTATTCCCGCCTGTCACGCGGGTGACCCGGGTTCGATCCCCGGCAACGGCGTCCATAGTGTTTTTGTCATTTTCTAAGAAAAAACATAATTTTATGATCTTAATTACTGTTTTTATTTTTCTAATCAAATAAGCTAATATTAGCTACGGTGGAAATGATTAACATAAGATTTCATAATGAATATTAGTACAATTATATACATAGATGATCTTAACATTTAGCTATGCAGAAACGGTCTTTGTTTTTCTTGCTCACTTAAACTGCACAATGATTTGCCGGGAGATAACTCCTGAACCGTTGGATCACACCTTGTCGAGAGGAATCGATCCGTACAAAGATTTCCGATCCATGTCCGCAGCTCTCAGCCAATCAGGTGCATCCACCTCACACTCCCTCTCTCCTCCGCTCGGGTGCGTTGCACGTGTTCGCCCGACCTGGTCCGCGTTTACGACGGGCGTCAAACAGCTCGTGAGCCCGCCATTACTGACCGGGGGGGTGAAGGGAAGGAATCCAATGCCGTCCCCCATCATGACCACCCCCAACTCCACCCACACGTGGCCACCGACCGGGCGTGACTCCCGTACGTGGCGGGCGACCCCCACCACGGGATTCGACAGCGACGCCTTTATCTCTTCTCCGCCGTACAAGTGGCTCCGCTCCCCACCGCAAACTCCTCGCCCGCACCGAATCATAAAGTTCGGAAGAGCCACTCTCGGTTCGACACGTGTACGGTGGAGACATTTGATCTCATTTTCGGTTTGTTTAGGGATTGGGATGGAAGATAGGAGTGGGACCCAGCGCCCCGCGATGCATTGACGAGGGTATGACGATGGGTATGCCAATAGAAAGATTAGGAAACTGTGTTTTTGTTTGCTTATTTCCCGCTTTGAGGGCGACCCCATTCCCGCTCGTTTTGACGACCATTCGAACCGGGGGAAACGCGGATCCGGATAAGGAAGCAACAGCCGGCCCCACTGCCTTACCTGGCTTCCACTGCGGGCAACCCTTCCTCGTAGCTTCCGGAGAACGCCACACACAACCCGTCATCCACCGCCTCTGCTTCTTCCTCTACTCCCTCTTTCTATAAGTTCTCCCGACCCTACCCCCAGTCGTTCGTTCGATCTCGGTCGTAGCACGAGAATGGGAGAGGGAACGTTGGAGATAAAGAAGTTGAGGACGGAGTGGCGTTGCGAGGAGGAGGAGGGGAAGGTGGGGGGCACGGGCGGGTGGGAGACGCCGAAGAGGGCGGAATGCCGGATCCCGGCCCCGGTCCGCTGCCCCGCGCCGCCCAAGAAGAAGTCCCCCGCCGTGGCGTTCGGCAAGCGGAGGGATCCGCCCAAGAACGGCTACTTCAACCCGCCCGACCTCGAGGCCCTCTTCGCGCTGGCGCCGAGGAGAGAGGCCTGCGCGTGAACTGCACCCACACGGAGGCCTCTTGTAGATAAACAGATGCTACACCTCACTGTTGTAATCTACTGTCGATTCACTTAGGATTAGGATTCCCTTTTCCTCTGTATCTATCTACTCCTTCAAACTTCTTTTCCCGTAATAATATTAGTTATTTTTACTTGTTTCTCTATATCTGGACGTGCGTTATGATGTTGATATTGATGATCTCTTATCGTTTGCTTGGATTTGCATTATAGTGTTGCCGTGATGGATGACAACATGTTTGTTTGGTATTTGTTTACCCAATGCTATGATGTCATTGATGTCAGTCAATGCTGTGGTCCTCCCCCAATTTGGTCACCTAATAAGAGTATTCCAATGTTTGACATTGGTAATATACTTAGTCAAAAGGATTTGAAGGGAAGAAGAAACATTCAAAATCTGTTTTTGCCAAGTTGCAGGTTTCATTGGGAGGCACAAAATCCAGTTGCCTTTTTGGTTTTAGCTTGTGGTTCATTTCATGATAACGGTGCTTTAATGATTGTGAGATTGGGTCAAACACCTTCTTGAATGTATGTAAAGGAAACGTTCACACACAAATAATCTCTCAAGGCATTTGTTGCTTTTGTTATTGTTATACTAAAAAGATATTTTTATTTTTTTCGTTTTTTTTCAAAAGATATTTTCTATTTTTATTTTTAAATGATTTTTTATTTCAAATAATGTCTAAAATAACTTCCATCAGTTCTAATAAATTTTTCATCAATTACTTATTTTTTTGGGGTCAATTAGAGTATTTTTTTATATTTTTTAAAATAAAATTAATTTATTAATTCAAGGGCCAAATATAATCAATGCTTTTAGCATTAGCACTAAAAAAAGAGAACGTGAATAAGATAAATAATTTTATCGATCGGTATGAAAAATATGAAAAATTAGAAAATAAGATGAACAAATCACAAATATATCGAGTTATGTTAATAAATTTTCATGAAGGTTTCTTAGTTTTCTAGAGAATATCAATAATAATTTTATCGTCCATCTCATGTTATAACGTAAAATTTACTACTAAAGCCTATTTGAGCTACATCGAGTTATGTTAATAAATTTTCATGGAGGTTTCTTGGTTTTCTGGAGAAAATTAACAATAATTTTATGGCCCATCTCATCTCGATATGAACTGAACATTTGTGATATTAGAACGTAAAATCTACTACTAAATTCTATGTTTGATCATCGTTAACTTAAAAAGATGAATATTCCTTCTTTGTAAGTGGTTTTCGTCTACACATGAACAAATAGCAATGTCAGTTCTCATCATAAAATCAATTCTCCCAAATTTTCTTCTGATGATAAAAACCCTAATGATAATTTTCTCGCAAACCCTCAGCTATAATCTTTAGAAAAAAAAAAAAAGGAATAAAGATAGCATCATTTCTGACAATTCCAAACCATCCAAAAAGCATACATGACAATAGCTCCAAGAGTCCTCGCTCCTCTTGCTTATCCAGATTTTGACCTTCAAGGAGTCATTTATCATCGACCCAAGTACTTTGAAATTGGAAAAGAAATATCAAGATTGTTCCTCAACAAGGAGAAAATGCACCGAGTAATAGAATATATGTGTTGGAGGCTGTCTGTAAGTTGGCCATCAGAACCAACTTGAAAAGAGTGGATGAGATTTTGACATTGTCTAGAAGTAATAAGATTATAATAATAACAAATATTATGATCACCATCATTAATCCATTTAACCTGGGCTAAAGCCCACCAGTTTAAACTAATTTATCTTAGGATAGCAATTGTCCAAATAGGATAGTTGGGGACCTTTCATTCGCATCCAAGCCTACTGTAGCATCCTTTTTGTCTTGAAATAGAAACTTAACATCATCAACCAGCCTATTGATCAAGATGACCAAACTACTGTTGGTTCCAACTAGAAAGGAAACCACACAGTTTAACACTCACTTAAGCACAACAGTAACGGTGAAAATATTTTTTTGGACTTAGGTCTATCATAATTTTAGCATCGAAGAGTTTTTTTTTAAGATCAACTCGTCGATAAACACTCGAGTTATCTTCTCAGTCATCTTTGAACTCCTACGCATATAACCTAGAATCGAGTCGATTCAATGACCTTAGTCTATATCCTTCGATGACAACACCGACTCACGTGCTATCGACGAATACCCTATTGAACCTTGCCCAACAAGTCAAGACATTACTGGAGGAATGATATAGTCAGATCGTTCCCTTGTTTTCGTAGCTGACTCAATCGATGTCTATTAGACTGCTGGCACTACTACTTCTTCCTACAACAACAACAACAGGAACAAGATGTTGAAGTGGGACTTAGAAGAGTCTTAATTGTTGTTGATGATGATGGCTTGTCATCCATGATATAAAGGTGTGGCATTTCACAGCCAACCATTCCGATGTCTCCTTTATTTTAAGTACCTACCGTTTGCTGATCTCATGTTGTATCAGTTTTATCCGTATGTGGAAGACGTCTGTGATTATAACATTAGGTAAATAATTCTATATAGATGATACTTGGATTAGTCCAAGTTGATCCAAATATATACGTGTAAAAGATCTTTAGGTTTAGTTAAGAAAGTCTTGGATATCTAACATAGTGTCGAGCTATACGATCGAGATTAACATGATCCTTCTAATACTCAGAGATGAAGATTTAAAGTAAACGGTAACTAATCTTGATTATTATGATTTAATAGATCTTTTATGATTAATCTAGCTGAAAGAAATATTTTAAAATATTTTATATTGAATTGATGTGCATATGATTGAGTCCTTGCGATCATTGTCATGTGTCAAATGTGATTGGGTGAATATTTTCTTGTTGGACCCACATGACAATTACAGTAATAAAGAAATCAGTGACATAATCTATCCATTCTGCATCAGTCCACTCTGCTAATTAGTTTGTGAGATCATTGCTGACTCAATCATGAGCTCAAACTTCATAAATTTGATGTACTACATCCTTCTTGGATCACCAAATTAATGTTCAGTTGCTTGCAGCAATAACTTTTAATATTGGTAGCAATTAGTTTAACCAGCAGAACAACAGGAAAATCATCAACAGAGCTTTTCAAGTTTAAGAAGAGTCAACAGAGCTTTTGGCAAATCATTAACTCAATTAGTGGTTTGCTCCCATAAGTGTTACTTTGCAAAATTCATTGATCTTAATTTGCCCCATTATAATGCCTATCTGACCCAATAAGTAAATGTTGTAACAGTTACATCATTACATGTTGTAGACAAATTAATGATACTGTCACACACAATTGGTTGCCTGTGAAAAATTGGATGCAGGTTGACTGCTTGAGCTTTTAAACAGCAGTGATTACTTTGTTTGCTGTAATTTAGAACAAGGCAAAGAGTCCTTTCTCAGATGATCCCAAGTCCAAGCAGAAGTGACTTTTGGTGGAAGAACTCATTGATGGTGCCCAAACATACTGTAATAACCAAACAAGCAGTCATTTCATGTCCCTGCAATTGCAAGCCAGTAACTCCATCTTACCTCTTGGCCTTCTTCCTTTGTCTCACAATCAACATAGGTGATGCTTAAGAAGTCAATGATCTGAACTGGATTTATAATCTTTCATTGGTGACTAATGCCAAAATATCACTGTCTAAGCCAAAGGAGTGCTCCTGTTTGATTTGGCCTTTTACCTACTAAATTGAAAGCAAGCCTGAGGATATAATTTAAGACCATGGAATGGTGCTGTCAAAAAGGCAACAATCATGCTAAAGGTAGAAGAATACAAAAGACCTGTAATTATTGTCTCTTTATTCATGATAACACAAAGGATCGAACATGAAGATAATGTATTCAAACAACAAACATAAATGATCAGCCATGTACAGGGCTCATAAACAGCAATTTGGGATTCATGCTTTTACAGGAACCAAGCCTGTCATCTCCTTCTTCCTTCGAGGTCGGAATAGTGAACACAGCCTGAACCAGCAGCCCTTTCGCCCGGCCGCCCCAGCCCGCTCGACACTCCTCGTCCTCGCTGAAACCAAATCGGCCATGTACTGAACAACAGCCTGCGGCACGAAACAGATTTGTCGAGGCAAGTGGTATCAGTATCAAAGAATCATTTGAACAATGTACAGAAGTTTGAGTCCATGATTCAGGTGTACCTGAGCTCCCAATTTTAGCACATGCCTTGGTGGCACTTCCAGAGGAGTTTCATCTGCATTGAACACCCTAAGCTTTGTCAAGAGCTGGAAAGAATCTGGCAGTACTCTTATCTGGTTGCTGCTGATGTCCAGCTCTTCTAGCATCTCTAGATTCCCAATTGATCTTGGTAATGCCGTCAAATCCGCAAAGTTCCTTCCCACATTTAACTTCACTAGACTAGTGGCAAAGCAAAGGCTCTCGGGGATCGCCTCAAGCTCGTTGAAGCTAACATCGAGTTCTTTCAGTTTAGAAAGCGAAGCCATAGTAGTAGGCAATGATTTCACTCTGTTGTAGTGCAATGTAATGACTTCCAAGCATTCAAGCTTTCCGACTGCCTCAGGCAGTGCCTTCAGGTGATTGAAGTCCAACCTGAGCTCAACGAGCGCAGTACACGATCCAATAGTGTAAGGAAGTTCCTCGAGCTCATTCGTCTCAACATTCAATCTTCTTAAGTTTGTCAGATTCCCTAATGTGTCTGGAAGCGCGGACAGCTGGTTCGAACTCAAATCAAGGTTAACTAGACTCGTAAGGTTCCCGAAAGATGGGGGAAGAGACTTGAGTCGGTTCGCATGCAAATCGAGATCAACTAAATTGCAGAGTTCTCCAAATGAGTCGGGTAGGTTAATAAGCTGATTTGAGTGGACATCAAGCTTTGTCAAGGACCTCAGGCCCCCGACAGAGGGTGGAAGTGCCATGATTCGATTCTCCGATAAATTCAGCTCAGTGATGTCTTGCAGTTTTCCCAGTGATACCGGAAGCCACTCAATCTGGTCCATCAACTTCCCCTGGAGGTCAAGAACTCCAAATTCATTCTTTGCTGAAGTCTCGATTAGGCTTGCGACTTGAATGAGGCTTAACTTTTCTGTGTCACCACCAACAACAGATGAGCCATAGGATAGGGAAAAGAATAAGGCTATGATGATTCTACCAGCTCAAGAATGACAAGGTGAGAGTGCAACAAAAGACAGCATATACTAATAACACTTTCTTAGGTATGGATCTCCCCAGACTCTACCTCCCCATACGGAGTCGTTATCGATCTTATGTATGACATTGCAAAATAGTAGAAATTTTCCATGTGAGGAAAAGTATCTTTGAAAGATACTTTAGAAAGTAGTAAGAGTCAAGGCCTGCCCAAAAAATATGCCCAAGAACATTTGAAAATGTTTCTGAGAGATGCACATCATTATAAGAAAACAAACTCTACAAGTATTTGTTTTCTTCAATTAGATTACAATAAAATCTAATGTTCTGAGGGAAATAAGAACTCAGGCAAGTAGTTGACATGTTCTTATCATACTGTTTTGGATGTTCAACCATGACAGTCAAATAGATGTGATCTACCAATATGAATGCTTGACAGCATAACAAATCAGCAAGCAAAGAAGAACAGAAGACTTGGTAATTCATGGTCCATTAGCCTTATGCAAAATCTCAGCTGAACCTTCAAATTCTCTAAGCCTAATTCAAATTGGGGCTCTAAGAGAACTCACAAAGAGCTCCTCAGCAATTATGAAGTGATCAACAGACATATGTGAGCATAAAGGGAACAAAGGATTCAAGAAACAAGCCTCTGTAGAACAGCAAGAAAGAAAGAAAGAAAGAAAGACTAATCTGACCTGAAGGGACCTCAGACTTCAAGGAGGAAAACACTTGCCCATTGGAAACATCCATCTCCCCCTTCTTCTCATCCTTCTCCTCCATGACCGAACTCAAACTTCTACCAGTTCTACGCACCATCACATCATACCTAGCCTTGAATTCCTCCTCCTCCTCCTCACCACCCCCTTCACCTTCCTCCGAGGACACCAGCTTGGAGGCCCTCTGCACCAGCTCATCAAAAACCTGGAACCTCTTGTCCAATTCCACCACATACATGGCCTCCCTCCTCTGCTCCTGGGCCTGCAACAGGACCAGGTTCTTCCTCACCTCCTGCAACACATAGAAGAGCTCATCTGGCACGTCTGGAGGCTTCTGCATCTTGCCAATCTCCTCGATCCTCATCTCCTCCTCGTTGTCTGCTGACCTGATGACCGCCACGGCTGCCACCACTTCTTCTATGGAAGGCCTAGGTGGCAGAGACCTGTAGACCCTCATGATCTCCTCCACAGCCTCCAACACACCTGGGGGTTTTGGCTTGGATGATTTCCCCATGGCCTCTCAATTCTGATATCCCACAGCCTTCAGGGACACAGAGAGAGAGAGAGAGAGAGAGAGAGAGAGAGTACGTTCGTTAGTACTTACTTCGTTGTTCGTTCG